GTATATTAAATTTTCTAGATATGTTAGTCCAAGCAATATTTTATGGTATGTGTTCAAATTAATATGCTAAGAAACGAAACTACAAAGAAGAAAAAAGTTTTAATCAAGAAAAGCTCATTTGAGGAAGAGGTCAAATCCCATTGGTCACTTCGAATGGGAATTTTCTGATTGGCCAGTATGTACAGCTGCTAAATTTTGTAAAAATATGCTATTTAGTTAAGAAAACCCTAGCAGAAGCAAATACAACATAATTAAAATATTAATCTAAAACGATATCTTATCATATTTAGTAAAAAAAAAAAACAGTGTTTTAAAACAGCTCATGGAGTCTCTGCGCCTCTATTCACACCAACTAATCAGAGGCCGCGCTCCGGCGTGTTGCTAGGCAGATTATGTTAATGTTTGCAACGCAGCCGTGTTTGCAGCTACCATTCTGAGGTAAGATTAACCTGAAGGTTTTCCACAAATTCGAAGAATGCAGAGGTCTGATAAGTAATCGGGTCTGTGGCTTAAATGTATCAGAGTCTTTATGTTCACCTAAATTAAATCTAAGGGTGGTTTCAAGCCACACTCGCCGACAGAAAATAAATATATTTTCTGTATGCTACGTCGTTAGTCCCACCCAAAATGGAGCCCGTTCTTCCTTGTTCTCATCAGACTTGAAGGGCCGGACGCAACTAGAAATGGGGGACGGGTGAGTCTGTGCGGATAATTCGGCCCCGGCAGGTTTTAAAATCGGTTTTGTGGAAAAACCCAAACCGTGTCCCGTCTACCGCGGTCCGAGAAGCCGACTTAGTCCGAATGCGCGGCCTTCTGTTGGGACTTTCACGGCCGTATTTGCTAACGTTGCGATGCCGTAAATGCCCGCGTTCCTGCGGAGTTGGTTTTTGTGGTATGGTCCGGTTTGGGACCGAGAACCTGCGGGGCTAAAATGGGGGGGACATAAATTTTGTATTGATCATACCAACTAGATTTGTGAATGAGCGGCGGAGAATCGGGATTATTGGCCGGATTTTTGAGCCGGCGCGCGGCTGGATTTGGTCGCTGTTTTCCGGGCGGCCTCCGGATCAGACCGGCTTTTCCTCCGGTCGTTACCTCCGCTGAGAGTGCTGTGTGTCGGCCTCGTAACGACCCGACACACGCTGGTTTATTTTGGAGCTGGAGTCACGTCAGAGCACAACTGTCAGAAATGATCTGCGGATTATATGTGGCCCAAATAATCCAAAGAAACAACATTTTCTGTGAAAATACAGCTGAGAGATGAATTATTTTACTGACATTTGTTGACAAATAATAAACTGAGCTGTTTGTGTTATAACAAGCTAAAAATACCCAAAACACAGATGAAAGCTAAACTGTGTTAAACCATTGACAAAAGCTAAAACTGAAACAGCAGTTAGCAAAACAGTAGCTTAAAGCCAATATTCAGAGCTAAAAGCTAATATAGATGTAGCAAAACTCTAAAACAGCTTAAAACTAAATGTAGCGAAACACTAGCTAAAAGCTAAAATTCAGAAACAGTAGCTAAAAGCTAAATGTGTTACTAAAAATTAACATAAAATGTAGCAAAAATCTTAAGTTGGCAAAACTAAAACAGCTGAAAACTAAATGAAACGAAACACTAGCTAAAAGCTAAAATTACTTAGCCCATTCATTGATAAATGCTAAAATTGGGAAAGTATTTTTTTACATTTAGGCAACGGTAGCTGAATGTTAAAATTAGTAAAACCAAGCTAAAAGCTACACGGCTATAAAAGTGAAACTTACATTTTTAAAATTGTAGCCAAAAGCTAATACAAGTTTTGTAGCCATCTGGTAAATTTATCAGAGCTGTAGAAAATAAAATCTACAGGCTAAACATTAGCAAAAAAGTAAATATAGCAAAACTGGCTGATAGCTAAAATATGTAAAACCTTAGCAAAAACTTAAATTTGCTGAACCAGCTAGAAGTTAATTGTAGCCAAACTGCAGCTGAAACAAAATGAGCAGAGCTACAGAAACACTTAAATTTAGTTAAATCCTAGCAAGAAGCTAAAATAAGTAAAATAAAAGCTAAAAGTTAAAATATCCAAAATCATAACTAAAACTAACAAAAGTGTAGCTAAAAGCTAATTGTGGTGAATTGTAGTTTAAAGCTGAAGTTGTCAGAACTGCTACAAAAATCTAAAACGGATAAACACCTAAAAACTAGCTACATTAGCTGAAGCCCAAATCAACTAAACTGTGTCAAAAAGTTAATTGTAAAACAAAAAGAAGCTGAAAGATAAAATTAGTCGAGCTGCAGCAAAACCCAAATTTATCAAAACTGTAGCAAAAGCCAAAGCGAGTAAAACAGTAGCTAAATGCTAAATGTAGCACAAGTTGCTCATGGCTACAGTTAGCAAAACAGTAGCTTAAAGCTAAATGTAGCAAAAGTTGCTCATGCTAAAGTTTGCAAAACAGTAGCTTAAAGTTAAATGTAGCACAAGTTGCTAATGGCTGCAGTTAGCAGAACAGCAGCTAAAAGCTAAATGTAGCACAAGTTGCTAATGGCTGCAGTTAGCAGAACAGTAGCTAAAAGCTAAATGTAGCACAAGTTGCTAATGGTTGCAGTTATCAGAACAGTAGCTAAAAGCTAAATGTAGCACAAGTTGCTCATGGCTACAGTCAGCAGAACGGTAAAAGCTAAATGTAGCACAAGTTGCTAATAGCTACAGTTAGCAAAACAGTAGCTTAAAGCTAAATGTAGCACAAGTTGCTCATGGCTACAGTTACCAAAACAGTAGCTTAAAGTTAAATGTAGCACAAGTTGCTAATGGCTGCAGTTATCAGAACAGTAGCTAAAAGCTAAATGTAGCACAAGTTGCTCATGCTAAAGTTAGCAAAACAGTAGCTTAAAGCTAAATGTAGCACAAGTTGCTCATGCTAAAGTTAGCAACAAAACAGTAGCTTAAAGCTAAATGTAGCACAAGTTGCTAATGGCTGCAGTTAGCAGAACAGGAGGTAAAAGTCAACACAAATAAGCAGAGAAATAAATAACGTGTTTTATGTTTCGGCTCGTCTCAGGAGAGAAGTGACTGGGTCGGGCCTGCTGCTGCGTTGCCATGGAAAACAAGCAGGAAGCGTCGGCCGTCTGGAGTCAGACCGTCAACAATGACTCGAGCAACCCCACTCAGGTACCGAGTCCTGACCCGGCTGTTCCCCACCCCCTAAACTGGAATCATAAGTAGACCTTCGGCTGCGGCCACGTGGAAGTTTAGCTGATGTTTTGAACCCTTCAGGTGCATTTCGAGGGCGGAGCCGTGGCCCAGATCGTGTACGGCGGGGAGCGGGCGGACCGGGCGGAGCAGCAGGTGGTCTACACGGCGGACGGGAGCTCCTACACCTCCGTGGAGTCTGCGGAGCACACGCTGGTCTACATCCACCCTGCGGACGGCGCTCAGGTGAGACAGAACTCGCTCCGAGACTCGCAGCTGAAGTTCCTTGTTTCTGGTCTGAGACGAGTCCCGGTTCTTTCAGACCGTGTTCGCCGACCAGCCGCAGGTGGCCTACATCCAGCAGGACGGCACCACTCAACAGGTGGGCTTCACCCGCCGCTGCCACGTCGTATCCATCTCTGCGGACGCCCCGTCAAAATAAAATCCACTGTGCTGTGATTTGCAGGTGACGGTGCTGCTGCCCGGAGGTCAGAACATGAACGCCGCCAACCTGCACGTTCTCAGTAACGTGGCGGACGCTCCACCGGCCATGCTGGAGCCGGACTCTCAGGTGAGGCTGCGCTCCTCCGTGGAGAACAGTGATCTCGTCTCGTCCTGACTCTGTGAATCTGTCGGAACGCAGGAGCCGCTGTCCGCCTCCAACTCCCTGGCAGACATGGCGGACATCACGGACCCCCCCACCAGCCCGCTCGGCGCCACGGACTCCACCGATGACTCCGACGAGGTGGAGGACGAAGACTCAGACCTAGACGACTGGGACCTGCTGCAGCCTCCGGCGTTCGACCCTCACAGCCTCTGTGAGTAAAAACCTCTTCACTCGGGTCGGCCTCCGTGTTTTCAGCTGCGTTATGTTTGTTTCGTACCGTTCGTTTCGTCTCAGGGTGCGAGGAGTGCAACTGTGCCAACCCCTCAGAGTGCCCCCTCCACGGTCCCCTGCATCCCGTCCCCAACCGGCCCGTCCTGTCCAAGGCCCGGGCCAGCCTGCCTCAGATCCTCTACATCGACCGCTTCCTGGGCGGGGTGTTCTGCAAGAGGCGCATCCCGAAGCGCACGCAGTTCGGTCCGGTGGAGGCGCCGCTGGTGCCGCAGAGCGAGCTGCAGGAGCACTTCTTCCACCTGAAGGTGAGTCTGAGCTCAGGTAGAGCAAACGCTGAGTCAGCAGCTGAGTCACTCTGTGAACTTTCTGTTGTTTTAGCTGCTCACAGATCTGCTGAAGTCATTCAGGAAAGAGGAGGGCGATAACAAATAGTTTCAAAACATTTTACTTTGTGATATTTTCCAATAAAAAACTGATCTATTCAAAAACGTCTGCTACTATTAGTTTTAAGCAACTGTTCTGCTACTATTAGCTTTAAGTACTCTTCTGCTACTATTAGCTTTAAGCAACTGTTCTACTACTATTAGCTTTAAGCAACTGTTCTGCTACTTTTAGCTTTAAGCAACTGTTCTGCTACTATTAGCTTTACGCAACTGTTCTGCTACTATTAGCTTTAAGCAACAGTTCTGCTACGTTTAGCTTTAAGCAACTGTTCTGCTACGTTTAGCTTTACGCAACTGTTCTGCTACTATTAGCTTTAAGCAACTGTTCTGCTACTATTAGCTTTAAGCAACTGTTCTGCTACTATTAGC